CAGTACTCACAATATACAGGGTGTGGTTATAGCAGGAAGTGGCTTGTAAACATACAACCTGTTAATTCTAAGGTCGAATGGGGAACAATGCGTATAGAGCGTATATAGAGACAGAACGGAAAATGGGTGTTTAGTCGAAGCAGAGGAATTAGGGCTGAGGGCGAAAAGTGCTCACCCTACTTCTCTTAATTTCCGCCTTCCGTCGTGTTTTCGTACACATCCAACGGATTGTCACGCGATCTGATTGGTTTGTCAGTTGCCTTTTCGCCGAGTCAGCTGTCAGTCGTTCACGAAACGGTGTGGGTAACAAGAGTTTAACTATCCATCGTGAGGCGCAACTCGTTGGAGTCAGGGTAGCGTGTTCAAACACGATGTCTGGCAGATGCCTGTCCTACAATTGCCCGACAAGTGTTGGTCTGGAGATGTTTTGGGATCACTGTACTGTCCAGCCACAGAATCCAGTGTGGACCACGAGATGAATCACAAGTGCACACCGTGTGCTTATCGATCTGGTCTCGGTGAATGCAAGACCAAGATAAGTTTCAAACGGTGTAGGTCTCAGCAGCAGTGAGAGAATGAGTAGTGGCTAGTTTCCCAATAACTGCCTTGTAGAGCAGCCGAATGAGAGCAATTTGGAATTATTAGAGGGCCCTCAGAGTGATCTTGCAAATGAGACTAAAATTAGCCTTGTCGGTTTCAAGGCGATGAAGTTGTGCACTTACGTTTGACGGTGTTCGATGGTTGAAAAGCTTTTGCAGATTTTTCACAAAATCAATTAGGAATCCATCCGAACTTTTTCCAGGGTGGACGGAGCACACAAGGAGGAGCCGAATGGTGTGTACTAATCCGAGACTAGTAGCCACTACAAGTAGAAAGCACAACAAATATTAGAGCTCAGGTTTGTGTCTACCCTACGCGCAGATATCCTGTGATGTTTGCAAAACTGGTGCCCAGGAATCAACCACAAAGCTGGTATTGTGGGCATATGTGCACCATACTTCCACATGGTGGAAATTCGAACCTAATTTGGTCTATTGTTTTCAAATGACTATACCTATTCTTCCTTGAAGAAACTATTTGCCCGTCCTACAAATCAGAAATCTTGATAGCGTTGAGGGACAGTAGGTGCAGTTTGAGGGTCGCGCAATCCCAGCAGGCAGATCACACTTTCTGTGTGAAGATGCGTGTCAAGTCTATGCAGTTAACCCTCATCCGTCAAAAATCCTTCTAATTGGGATGACCATTTAATTTATGCGACTAGTCCGCAGCGATGTCGATAAGTGTTCTTCCACTAAGTTGGTAAGAGATAGTTCGCTTACGTTGGTAACTACTCCATTCACTTCACTCGCCATGCTGGCGTCTTATACTAACAAACTGGATGAGTCCCACACGATGAAATACACTGGAACAACTCATGTGGGAAAATGATGACCTATTCTCAATCCGTAGGGGCGCTTCGCTAATCAGCCTTCATTTCCGATGTGCATCTGAACGATGATATGGTTTATTGCAACATAAACAGCCACCACCAGCATACAGGCCAGTTCATACGTCGTAGTAAGGTTTGGAACTTCAGTTTGTGCAAACTACGTAGCAGACCAAGTTGCTGATAACATCACGGATAACAGCTATACAGCAGTGCGTTTTTGAGGTTCCCCAATACATAATTCATTTATGCCAAGACTGTGCATATCCCTCCGATATGTAGTTATTCTGTCGACAGCGCACATCCCAGTAGACTGAAAATCGACTTTTACAACGATAGCATACCATGAACCTAATTTCGAATTGCTCAAACCGATTCCAATTACGCCGAAGGCAGCGATGTTCATGTAGTTTTGCAAATGTTGTAGCGGAGCCTGACAGTACTTTCCGCCGAGACGATTGGTACAAAAGTCTATAATGAAATCAATAGCAATTTATCAGGACACTATTGCTCTCGCAGTTAATTAGTTGCAAATATTATTTGGATTAGTGTGTGAAGCAGGTAATTACGGTTTACATAATCACCGTTCCATTGCAACGTTGCATCGAAGACATGTGTCATCTGAGAGAGTACTTGTTCTTCCATATTGTATTTTTCCGCAAAACGCTATAGCAGCAGAGATATTTGAAAGAGACCAGCGCATTCCAAAACTTCTGACGGCAACTCGTAAAATTGCATAATAGTGCATAATAGTCAAGGCGCACCGTTTTCTTGGCCTCCTTGATTTTCGCATGCCTATCATTCCAGCACTGTTACTTCATTCCATGCAGTCTACATAGCCACTTTTGAACAGATATTGAAATTTAGATTATACTATACATAATGCCAAAAAAGCATTTCATCTCAGTGTGACAAAGTTCCGTTTCATCCACGCCACACAGATGATTTTGGTTTAAACACACCCTTCTCTGTCTACACATGGGACAAGTTTGTGACAGGCTGTGATTTCGAGCACAACTACCCATGGCACGTTGTAAAGAGCAACCTTACATACACGAGAAAACGAGAGGAGATCATCATCCAGGGCCCGATACAAGCTCGCTATATCATAATTATGCCGGACAAGGAGAACTTCGAAAAAGCCACGTCGGGACTAGTGATGGGAGAACTGAGAGCATTCGGTGTCAAGATCAGAGACGGTTACAGCCCAGTGACATATGAGGACGGACCTGAGGTCACTAACCTGCATACAGTGAGTTTTTCTTGCAAATAGAGCTCAGGTTGTGGGCTCCTTGAACCTGACCAAATGATCGGTTTATACATGAGCTTGCAGGATTCCAAATCCCTACCCATATACCAACAGAGCACAGAGTTTGCAAAGCCTAATAGTCTACGACACCCCGCGCCATGACCATCAAAGAGCATCGGGTGTAAATGATAATCATACGATAGTTTTTCGTTTCACCGTTATGTGAGTCATTATCCTCAGAAGTGATGGAGCGAAAAAAGGACGGATAACATTCGCAGATTTCCTGCTGGAAACTACAAGATGTACTGCTGGTACAGCATTGATCTTATCCAAAGATTTAACTTAAAATAGAGAAGTTGCGACGCCTCTAAGCCTATCTACATTCATATCTACCAAATTTGTGACCTGGCGGTTTGCATTTATCTATAGGATAGAAACTGTTGAGCGATATGCGCTGCGAATAAAACGTAGCGTGATAACTTGCTTTTATCTGCAAATGTGTGACCTTTATCTCACCATCGCTTTACTGAATCCACTCTATCTGTAGGAAACTCGTCGACGTCTGCTCACAGGACAAGAGCAATTGCGTGTTGAGCAGGCTTACGGCGAATACCTGCTGAACAATGAATACAACGATGTCGCACTGGGTTGGCATCACAACCGAATCAACACAATGGCGGTGGTGCGCGACAACGCTCGTGCTATCGTCATGTCTGGAACCGAAGGAATGGATCTGTTAGTGTCGTCGCCCGAATACTCAACATTGCGGGACAATGTCCGTTCGTGGCTCAGTCCAAACTATCCAAATGCATCGTTTGTAAAAGTGACGGAGGAAGCCAAATACGGAGACATTCTACTGGTCACACGCAACGACAAATTTGACGTAAATTCCACATATGACAAACTTGCATCTGGCAATCATTCCGTGGTGATCGGTTACATGGGTAATACGCAGTTCTCGAACGATGATGCGACGGAACTGATGGCAAAACTCAAGGTCAAATACTTAATACATGACGGTTATTACATGCCCAGAGACATACCGTTGCCGGAAAAAATTGAATCATCCGACTACATTCCGCCAGAATATCACCTCAAATTGGGAACAGAAAGCTGGTGGTATTTCAAAACAAAGGATCTTACAATCGGGATGTCATGGAACGAAGCGAAAAAACCGGGGACACAAAATGCACTCAAGGCACTCATTGCTAAGTACCGGCAATTTTTTGAAGATCGCCCAATCTGCGATAGAAACCCGTACACCAGAATTCCGGAACTAGATCGAGCATTCGAAAACTGGAACAGGCTACTGAGTTATCAAGTTGGGTCCCGAATTGTGCCGATCGCTGGTTCCATACGTACGCCCGGTGATGTGCGTTCGAGCGAGAAGGCCACTTGCTACTCGGTCACATTCAATGTGAGTGTAAGTGGCAATTTTTACCCGATGGGTGCCTACGCCAGACCTGGATACGCATTCCAGTATAAAGTACTAAACATTTCCAAGCCGAGTCTCCAGGGCTTCCGTCTCCGAATTAACCCTCAAACTGACACTGTGAGACATTCGGTACTCAGACGCTGGTTCGCAATTACCACTTCTACTGACATGGAAATGGAGGGTGAGTACGCTTCTGCATTCGGAGGTCCGATAGTGGTTCAGATTCCTGAACCTGCAACTATTACCATACAATTCAAGGACGTTTACCGTTACCCGTGGTTTGATATTCGGAATCCGGAGTCAAGGAAAAACTGGGATGTTGAGCGTCGTAAATATCATGGTGTTCCCTATGTGATGATAGTCGGTAATAACATGATCAGCATGATCGAAACACCAATGGCAACGAGGACTAACAGGGAGGATATGCTATACTGCATCAACCAATTCGACAATATGGTCAAGCTAATGCACAATTTCCGTGGCACAGACTATGCAACCGATCGGCTGCAGGTATTTGTGACCGATGAACAAATCTCGGCTGGTGATGGTCATTCGGGTTACCCGTGGATGGGTCACAGGTATTGGGGAAACGCTCTCGTATCGAAGGAAGGCTTGCAACAAGGGAGACAAATTGGGATCCCACACGAAGTTGGTCACAATCTGCAAGTCAACCGGATCACGTTTAAAGATGGCGGTGAAGTGACTAATAACATGTACATCCCAGTGATGTACAAGTATCTGGTTGGGCTTGATTCCTACGCCAAGGGATTCCAACCAGGCTGGACTGAAGGGGATGAGAATGATCTGTTAGCCACTTGGCGTGGCACCGAGTACAGAGGTGTGAAAGAGAGTTACTACAGTTACTTATACAGATACTTCACCGCGGCTCTGGTTGGTAATGTGATCAGCAGCGCAGTCCACTCGAACGAGGCCTTCGACACTGAGGAGAGGAAGGTAAACTTTTGGATGAAGCAAATCTGCAACGAGTCTAAATACGATCTGGTTCCATTCAATCGTCTGTGGAAGTTCCCAATCACCAACGAAACAGCGCAGTTTTGTGCTCAATTTCAATGTTTCTTCCCTGACGACGAGCTCACGCAAAAAGTACCCAAATTGGTGAAACAACTACTGCATGAATATGGAAAGGAATGCTTTCGTGGAAAACCAAAAGAGGTGAAATTCAAACGTGATATAATGCGTGGTATCAACGTGTTGGATCCACAAATGATCTTTCTGCATGAGAATAGCTGTGCCTCATAAGTGTGGGAAGCAAATGTTCCTGTGGTGGTAACATGGTTTCCTCCTAGTGCGTTTTTTTAAACTGCTTAATGTGCATTCTCTCTTTATTCCTACTAAATAAATACTGGTTTTTGGGCATTACCCAGAGCTGTTTTGCTTTATCTTAATTATGATCCTTTGGGTAGCTGAGAGGTTCTCAATTCCGAATTGGTTCCCTACCTCGGAATTATAAATCGATTTGTGCGTCTATTCAAATCCTTTTCAGTTTTTTCAATAATTGCTACGAAAAACATGTCGCATATGATTGCATAAAAATTTTTTTACGCAGCACCTTAAACAAGCCCTCGGAAGTATCTAAGTGTATCCTGGGTAATTACTGGAGGAAACATACTGAAGAGCACGATATTTCCTGAGTATAAGATTCAGCCAACTCGAGCAGTTTTGCCAAAAGCCAAGTCTATTTCCCTATGTGATGAACAGGGATTGTTTAATTGGTAATGTACCTAACCAAACGTGAACTGATAGCGACATCGGGTTGGGGAAAGATTTGACTGAACAGTCCACGCACGCCAGTTACTGAAAGAATTGAGCTTAGTTAAAACTCTCTCACTCCCTAGTTACTATGTGATGTCTTGGCGTTCAATTTCACATGCATTTGTTAGACTGAGATAATGATGTCGAATACTGAACACTGCATTTGGGAGCAAGTAGAAATGTTACTCCCTACAGCTTCATCGCGATATCATGATAATTGCCATAGGGGCTGTAATCCGTGTTAACCTAAGTGTTCTTCAAGTTCTTATGTAGCATTTTCAGATGCCTGACTTAGTGTTTCACTCGGTTCACAAATGCAACAGGCCATTGCCAGTTTGCAATCGCTTTATGAATCGCAAGGCGCTGAAATGTTATTCCAATGACGTTTGAAGTGCTGGACAGATGTATTCTCCACGGCTTGTTCCGGCAGACTGTTCCAAACATTTACCACTCTCCTTTCGAAATCCAGGAGGTGGGGTAATCTTTTCATATCTGGTACCACAAGTCTGTACTGGTGTCGGCGTATGTTGCATGGTGTTCACAAGTGAAACATTAACCTTAACGTGGGAAAGTCACTGAGTTGTAATATATCCAGGTCGTGCTGCGATCGACTCGCACCCGACGATAACATAAGGTCTAAAGTCCTCGCTTTGCGCATCGGTCTAGGTACCATTATTATCATAAACTTGGAAGGAGCTTGGTATTGACATGTTGGACAAGTTCGATATTCTGTAATTCGGCTCGGTCGATTAGGAAGTGGAGAAACTGCGTTTAATCACCAACAGCACGCACGGTCCGTTACGGTATACTCTGTTTCTGTTCTCAACGGAATTCAAATGGTATCGCGAGAGTACATATAGGTTGCGCACTGAAGTTGTGCGACGTAGCGGTTGGCCGTCAATGGTGGGAATTCACTCGTCACCACCTTTATCCAAACCCATAAACACCGACTTGGATGATGTGACCGGGAGACGAACTTCCGCAGGCCACATGGAGAGGCGGTTGATGTCTTGCTGAAGTAGGCTCCAGTTGTCTGGTGAGGGGATAATCACTCTCCAACTTTTCAGATCGTCTGCAAACAGGGAACCCGACAACCGAAGAATTAGTGGTGGATCGTCGATGTCGATCAGGAACAGAGTGGGCCCCAGCACAGTGCCTCTGGGTACTCCACTAGTAGAGGAATGCCAGTCAGTTAGGTGGCCGTCGACTTGTAGCCTCTACTTATGCCCAACCAGAAAACGTTGGATTCACTGATGCAGTGATCCACCAACACCGCACACTCTCAGTTTGTGAAGGAGGACCTCATGATTAAGCTGGTCGAAGGATTTATTGTAATCCAGGTAGATTACGTTGACAGATTTTCCCTGATTCACCGATTCCAACCATCCTTGTCTCTTCACCAGTAGGTTGGTACTGTATGAACGGGCTAGCATAAACCCATGCTGTCTGGGTGTGTCAGTAGATATTTTTATTGGAGCAAATGCAGTAGGCAGTTGTTCGCGATCTTCTCGGCAACCTTGGCCAAAATAGATGTCACCCAAATCGACTGGTAGTTGTCCCCTCTCCTGGGGTCTCCACTATTCGGAATCTGCTTAAGCACTGAGTATATTCAGTCACTCGGCAAGGAATCTTGGGATAGTGAACCCCTGAACAAGTCAGTCACAGCAGGTGAGATGATGGCCGATAGTGACTTGAAAATCAGTGTGTGGACTCTGTTACGGGCATCCACGGCCGATGCGTCATGCTACACCCACCAACCACACGAGCCTTAACACATAAGTGTATAGTGTATTCGCCGACTGGTCTCTATTTCTCATTGATTCGTTTGGTTCTATATGTTTTCACTTGGTTCCGGTTAGGAGCAGATTACAGTTGCACACGTACCAAACGGCGTTGGTGGTTTTTCTACGTCTAAACGGACTACGGGTCCATAAACGGATTAGGAATGCACCATCGGTATCTAACAAAATGTCGACGGGCAATACGTACCCACATGCGGGTCGCTCATTTCTCTGGCCGGAGACGTCAGAAAAACCTTCCTTATAAGAATGTATTCAATGGAAAACCTCGTTCCAACATCAGGTGACTCCTTTCCCTATGTTGAATGCTTCCACCACACTATCAGATACCCACTGGATTATGTTGTTCCGCCAGGCACTTGGTTCCGAAGGACAAAGTCATATCGATGCAGTGAACATAACGGTTAAATCTAGGATCTCACAAGTTATTCAGTTATTTGCGGAACTATGGGGAATTCAGCAGAGCGCGTTTTCCGCTCGCTATCCGTTTTTGAACTTGCACCAACAACGCGGAGAAAGCGTTAGCGAGTTTATCCCACGCGTGCATTCATCAAGCTACTTCAGAGTGTCGTTGCAACACAATCCCTTCGACGCGTTTTGAAGAATTCATGAAAATTCAGTGCCTGATAGCTGGAATTATAGATAATGGATCAATGGAAAAACGATTATCCCAGGAAAAAGAGACGCTTTATTGGGAAACGGCTTGCAACTTTTTACGGCAGAGTGAGAACCTGAAAAATCCTTTGTCCACGTTTAACCCCGCCTGGTCTGCTGAAACGTTGAAAAAACTAACTCGATCTTTTGGCTTTGATAATATAGTGTGGTAGTTTGTATGCTACTGATGCGGTGATCACACACACACACACACTTCCCCAACTAGTGCCCTCACTTGCGTACGAAGTGCAGGAAGTGCGGTGAACTCGGATATTTTGCTCGTTTGTGCCGTTCCCTACCATCACATGTTTCCATTATATCGCAGAACGAAAACGACTGTGAGTCACGTGATTCACAGCTAAACTTGCTGAACCATGTAGTTACGATCTCTTCAAACATGCTCAAAGTACCTCTGTATATGATCACGCTTGTTGTCAGTGGTCAGTCAGTTTTATTTGAATTAGACACCGGCTCAGTAGTGACTTTAATAGACCATAATGCACTTTCATCATTACGTAATTTGGAACCGAGTGAAACAGTGTTCGAAACTTATACGGGGGAGGTCATAGGACCTATTGGAAAATCGTCAGCTGCTAGTTCAACATCAGGGAAGATCGCACAACTTAATGCGTCATGTTGTTCCTCGTGCATCGACCAATCTACTGCGACGTGGTTGGATAAACCAGTTACCGGAAAGGTGTTGAACACAACCAACTCCGTGGGGGTGGAAACGGTAGACTCTGTCCTAAAGCGATGCACCAAGGTATTTAACGAACACCAGTTTTCAGAAACTTCACAATTTTACAACTAAAATCCATATGGCGAATGCTGGTACGCCAAAATTCTTCAAGGCTAGATCACTGCCTTATGCCCTACGGCCAAACGTTGAAGAAGAATTGGAATGGCTCCAGCACGAAGGTACAACCGTACCGGTTCAATAAGCCGAATGAGCAGCACCGATAGTCACTGTGGTTAAGCCAAACGGCAGTGTGCAAATTTGCGGTGCTTGTAAAGTAACAGTGAATCACTGCACTGTCATGAGCAGTTATCCCTTAACAAAAAGTTGTAAATTCATCTGCTACTTTATGTGATGGGGTCAAATTCACTAAACTTGATTTAAGGTACACCTATTCCCAAGTGGAATTGGACGACGATTCTCGCCGGTTTACTATGACTACCACACATTTGAGTTTATTTGATAACACTAGACTAACATATGGAATTAATTCTGCCCCGGGGATTTTCCAAAGGATAAGCGACAACGTTGTACGGTATCTACCGAATACCTGTGCATATCTTGACGACCTACTAATCACGGGTAAGACAGAAGTAGACCATCTGCACAATCTGTATAATGTGCTACACAGGTTGTCCGAAAACGGGTTGTGTTTGTAGCGATTCAAAT